GTTGTAGACGACGGGCACGCGCAGGCCGAGCGCGCGCGCGTGCAGCACCGACAGCGCCACCTGCGGCACCACGTGCTCCGGCGTCACCAGGTTGATGTTGTGCACGCCGCCCACCTCCTGCAGCTTCACGTACCAGGCCCCGAGCTCCTCCGGCGTCAGGTCGAACCCGTTGCGCTGTTTTCATTTGGGAAACGCCGGAGTCAGTAAAATTCCGCTTGAGGTAAGAAAGAAATTCTTTATATAGAGTTTCGAGAGCTCGTGGGAAGCAAGCAGCAAGAGGAGGATATTCCCAGAATAGGAGATTCGTGCCTCTGAGACTCTGAGACCGTTCTAAAGGGGGAATTAAGAGGCTCCTGCAACTAACCTGGTGCGCGATCTCGTGGTTCTGGCAGAACGTGCATCGCAGGTTGCAGCCTGAGAAGAAGACGGCGCCGCTGCCGTTGTGGCCTTGGATGCAAGGTTCTGGGGAGGGAGCGGGATGTATTAGCTCATCTATCGTGTTCTGCTTGAGAAAGTTGCCTGTGTTCGTCTTCATATAATATGATAGACTACTCTGATGCGTTCATCCTAACGAGAGATGATGAGAGTGTATGAGGAGGGATAGGGGGAGAAGGAGGTGGGAGCCCCTTACCCTCGCCGAAATGCGGCGCGATGACGTTGACCTTCACGTTCGCGCCGATGAGACACATGCCTGTCGTCTCATAGCGGTTGACGCCGCAGAGGCGCGGGCACAGATTGCAGTTTTTCAGATGGGCGTACGCCAGCGACCGCTTCTTCGCGACCTCGACCTCGGAGAGCAGCTGGTACCGGGGGACGTAGTCATCCACCAAGAAGGGCGGCGCGAGATGCAGCCGTCGCCGTCGCTGCTGTGTGAGGATGTTGCTGCTGGTCGTCGGTGGCGAGGAAACGAGTCTAGTTCTACACTCGAGAGCCGCCACAGCCCAGAGCCGCATCCCGCTGCTTCTTGGTAACATCGCGATGGGCTGGCTGGCCCCATCGCAGGGATAGTGTCGTGCGCACTATGATGACCAAACTCTCAGACTGCTAAGCCCACGCCGACAAGGCTTATGAATCGAATGATGTCAAATCGCTCTTTCGGAATGTGCGATTTGATAAGCTTTTTAGCACACTTTCTCAGCGTTACTTAAGACCGAAGATGTAAAAAGCTCGGTTTTGCCACGGAAAAGCTCGGTGACAGGAATTAAGTTGGGACCGAAGGAGATCGCCCACTCCGGGAAAAAGAGGGTGGTTGTTGATTTACGAGGCCTTACTAATTAATGGCCCGCCAAAGTCGACGACTCCAAAGCTCGGGTTTGTAGTATACAAGCGGGGCTTGGTTTCGAATTTCGAGCGACATATAAAGTCCAGCTTCGGAATCCAAAGGTTGTTGTTAACTAATAGAAACCTGGCAAGAATTTCGTTAATTCCTTTGGCATTCTCTGCATTATCTATCGCAGCACGTAACCGAATAATTGCGCCCCGCGCAACCAACCGTTAGACGTCATCATTACCTCCTGATCTATCTACTCTTTTGGCCTATTTCAGCAACTTTCACGACCGCTGTTGCATCTTCACGGCATTTGCAGTTTCATTTTCGAGTCGACCAATTTACAGTTCGTCAAACAAGAGTTGTCATTCAGGATCCTGCTTTGGTTTACGAGTAAAGGTAAATCGCCATGGCTCCTCAACTGATGTTCATTGGCCTGGGAAACATGGGTAGGGTGAGTTTACTTACGTCCCAGTCACGTAACATACGGGATCTCGATTAATGCATCGAGCAGGGAATGTGCAAGAACCTAGTGCAAAAAGGCAACCTGCAAAAGCCTCTCATCCTCTACAACCGGACCAAGAAGCGGTCCGAGGATCTGGCGGCAACATTACCGGCTGGAAAGACAGAGGTTGTCGGTAGCATCGAGGAGGGCGTGAAGAAGGCAGACATCATCATCACTATCGTCAGCAATGATGCGGCAGTGAAGGAAGCCATTGACACCATCCTCCAGTCTGATGTCAAGGGGAAGCTCATCGTCGACTGCTCGACCATTCACCCCGACACGACGAAGCAGATTGCTGAAACCGTGCTGGCGAAAGGAGCCGAGTTCATCGCCTCCCCTGTCTTTGGTGCGCCTGCTGCCGCGGAAGCTGGCCTACTCGTGTAAGTGGTAGTTCCTTTACTGTATTTCATGAAGGTGTCGTGTAAGACGCGATGGTCGCACCCGTCGACAAGACACATTACAAATAGACGATCTAACGCATCCGCCTTCTAGCTTCGTACCAGCAGGGCCCAAGGCAGCAATAGACAAGCTGCGGCCGTACACAACAGGGGTGATGGGACGGGCCGAGATCCCGTTCGACGACAAGCCGTACGAGTCGTCGCTGAAGCTAAAGCTGCTGGGTAATGCGTTCATCATCAACATGGTGACGATGCTAGGTGAGGGGATGACGCTGGGCGAGAAGACGGGCGTGGGCGTCGAGCCGGTCAAGCAGTTCGTCGACCTGCTCTACGGCGGCATCTACAGCGGCTACGCGGAGCGCATGGTCAAGGGCGTCTACTGGAAGATGGACGAGCCGCTGTTCTCCGCCGACAACGCGCGCAAGGACGCCGGCCACGCCATGAAAATGGCGCGGGACGCCGGCATGGAGCTCAAGCTCATCAAGGAAAGCGACGAGTACCTCAAGGTCGTGGCGGACCACGCGGGCGGGTCCAAGGGTGACATTGCTGGCATCTACGGTGCTGTGAGGAAGCAGAATGGGTTGAAGTATGAAAATGATGCGTAACACAGAGCTGGCTATACGTAGCCCGGAGGTTTTAAGATGCAGAAGACTCACTCAATGAGTATAAAATTTCCAAAAGTGAGGTTAAGTTGCGCTTTTCCATATAGTACTTACCTACCTAGGTAGGTATTATATGTATGTAAACTAGAAGGCGAGCTACGTACCTCTTAGATAGGTTTTACCATCCTAAATCGGAAAGGAAGCCAACCTGAGCCACGCCGCTTTTAGCCTGAGACTGAGCCCTATCCTGAGCTGTAATAAGGCCTCGGGCCCAAACTGTCGGGTCAGGCAATTCCGAAAATAAAAAATAGGACGCGGAATGTCAGCATCTTCCAGAGGGATTATGGGGGCAGCCACCACGTTTTACAGATCAGGACCCCGTACCAGTATGGCTCTGGATCAGTATAGTCTTGGACCACAGCATAGACTTGAACTCGTACTAGTACAGTGACGGATTCTCAACCACTGGAAAAGAAACCTTTGATTCATAAAAACAGGCTACCAATAGTACAGGCATCCTATGCTCGTAAGGTGAGATCCAAGCCTGTACCAGTCCGAGGACGTACTGGTACAGAGTCAAAAGCTGTACAGTCACGCAAGAGTTGCAAGAAACGTTATTCCACCCAGACCACATGTGCCATGGTTTGGACTGCCATTTTTGGCTGGCGTAATGCTTCACATTTCAGCAGTCCAGACCACCACGCTAAGTATAATACTATTGGAACGTACGCAAGCACTGCACACCCCAAATCCTTACTGGTTGGCGGGAAGCCATACCTATAGCCGAGTTTCCCTCTCTGCGGCTTACACTTCTGGTGATGAAGGCCATGGGCCTGACTTAAAGGCTACTATATCTGTACCTACTAGTATCTTTACTGATACCCAGATTATTTCTGGCAAGTGCTTGACGTGGCGTGTGATATGTTTTAAGGATGACGTTGATATGTTTTAAAGAAGCAGCCACGATGATTGACGAAATGCCTTTTTGACATGCAAGACGGAGCTTCCTTCCGTAGTCTCACCCGTAACATTGCAGTACCTAAAGAATATCGTGAGCGACTACTTGCAAAGAACGCGTTGAACGATATATGATAGGTATATCCGAGAAAAGATTAGACTGCTTATCTAACACTTTACCTTAAATAGCATGTTTTGAATTAGCATTGTATGCTACAGACCATGAAAAATCCAAGGTAGAGTGTACCTTACTTCTCTGAACTGCTTGTGTAGGTCCGCAACGGAGTTGTATTCTGAAGAGGTAGGAACGAGTCTGCTGCATCTGGGACTTTCCATATCCGCACGGTTCAATTCTACTATTCATCAAGGTCTCGTTTCCTTTTGTTCTCCCCGTCTTTCTCTTTTCTTCTTTTCAAGGCCGGATCGAAAGGTCTTAAGGCAATTTGCTCAGGCCACCGGGGTGCCTGATGCTTGACGGTTCGGCATGCAAACGTCGAGTTAAGAAGCCTCGGAGACTAATTTACTGGACCTTGAGATGAGGGAGTCTGTGGCACGAAATTCCTGATCAAGGTCCTATGCCTCGAGCCTTGACAGGGGTGTCATAGTACACTACTCGCCTCTGGCAGGTTCACGGGCAAACATTCATGGGTCAAGCCCTTTTTTTTTCATTGTACTTGTTGGCTGGTCTAATGATGCGAAGAAGAAATCTGATATCCCTTTCCCTCTCTTTATTTCTACCTCCTTACTGAAGTACAGTAGGGTGGTTGAATGGGCTAAAATTAGCCCTTGTAAGTAAGTTTAAGCTTAGTCATGCAGTGGAAATAAAGGTACCGGTATAGTACTAGGGTTATCATGGAGGACAATTCACTACTCATCGCGCATCATCTTCTTATAGCTACGCGGATCCTCAACAAGCCTTGCGACTAGCTATCGATGGGCGTCCCGTCGGTCATACCGCAAGTCGTTGCGGTTTTACCGAATGTACAAAAATAAGGGTATTGCTCGACAAAAACACCAGTGTTTTGTTAAGTGCTTTCTTTGGCTATCTCTCCGCCAAGCAGCCACCTAGGTTTGCATCTAGGTAGCCCAACATTCCCGCTGCAGTTTATTGTGGAGTTGCAGTACAAGACCCGCAGGGGCTATGGGCAGAAGGGTATAGAAACGGAGGCGGGAGACCGGTTCCGATTTCCATGCATGCCGCTTGCAGGGGAATTGTAGGAAGTAGGATCATAAAGCCATTGATGTGAAAAAAAATATCTGGAGAAAAAAAATGGACACGGTCGGAGTCGAACCGACTATTCCGGGTGCCAGATACTAAGAACCCCGGGTGTTACCAGTTACACCACATGCCCTTAAATTAGTATTAGATGCAGATGAATAGCAATATATATAACTAACTCATAGCGGGTCAACATACAGGAGTGTGAAATGACTAAGCAAAGTCTTGGCACTGCGTAGCTGTCCCGGTACCTTGAGCTTCTAATTTACCTGCCTACACTAACACGACCAATACAGCATCTAAGGCAGCTCGAACCGCCACAACGAGCTCGACAACCACGATCCACGATCCACGCTCACATCCCTCCCTCGACGTCTGTACTGCAGTGTACATATCGAACCAGCACGACAGGGAAGCGAAACCAACCATTCCAAATTACATCGCAATGGCGCAAGGGTATGCTACCCTCTCTTCTTCAACGCAGCAACGTGAAAGCGAAGGGGAACCGACGGTATCTTCAGCATTGTGCTAACATGGCATGATGCCCGATTTAGGTACAGCGTCTTCATCGGCCTAGTCGTCGTGGCCGCCATGTGCATCGGTGCATGGTTCCTATCACCGAAGGGCGAGAACCAGACGTGAGTAGCCCGTCCTCTTGTGTACGGGGAAACGGAACGACCGCAACTAGGTGCCGGTGAGAAGACGAGCAGGGGGCTAACATGAACCGACCATCAACAGGACGTGGCGCTCGTCGCTCATCATCGCCTTCATCAGCTGCTACCTGATGTGGTTCATCACGTTCATGGCGCAGCTGCACCCGCTGATCGAGCCGCGCCGCGTGGACATCAAGGAAGGGTTCCAGCACGAATAACGGGGGACATCACACCTCCATCTACGATAACATGCATACGTCGACGCCTACATGCGCAGAAAAAGTCTCCTCGCATACACATACACATACACACACAACTTTTCACAGCGCCATCGCGACACGACACAACCCGATGTGCACTGCACGACACCACACCACCACGTCATACTCCATTAATCTGTCCGTTTTGAAGCGGATACCAACCAACCCATCCGCACACACCCCCCCCAACAGAAACGGTCATCGTTTCCCGGAACCTCGTGCATCGCTAGGTCTGGGGTGTAAGTAGGTGGAAGACGGAAATCAGCAAACGATACATGGAAAGAATCCCGCAGGGCTGAAAAGGGAGAGGGAGGGAAAGAAAGGGCGATAAAGCGGAAGAGGAAGGGTTCATCGCGGGGACAATGTATCAACAAGCTAACTAAATCCCAGCATCCATCTATCCATTCATCATCTTTGTTAGTCTCGTAACACGAGAACCACCACCTCACCAATTGTATTTTTCTTTCAGGCGTTAGAGAGAATCACGAGAGAGAATCCACGGAAGAGAATCAGGGTTTTCCCCCACCCTCGTGCCCTAGTACACGGGCAGAAGAAATATCTTCTCCGCTATGTATAGCGTAGTCGGAACAGGCGGATGGATGGGAGTCTATATAGATGTATAATGCCATTTTCGATATGGGGATTCAATCGTATTAATGACATTTCACATAATGCCGGGCGTGACTCGATTCGACTGACCGCATACAAGAGGTCAGGTAGTAAAAGGAGATCGAAAAAATTTTTTTTTCATAATAACAATAAATCTAGATTTCGCTCCTTGGATATCACAGATGCCCACCAATTCTTGAAACCAAACAAAAATAAATCAAATCCCCCCGAAGCGCTTTCTCATCCGACCGCTAACCGACTCCCCCATTCCCTCGCCCTCCCCAGCAGGGCCCAGAGGGCGCGGCCGTCGACGGCGACGTCGCTCTCGGCGACGGAGTCGACGCCGTGGAGGCCGACGCACCAGAGGACGGCGCGGCCGACGAGCCAGCGGGCGACGGCGCCGGAGGCAGCGAGGACGATAGCAACGCCGTAGCCGCAGTCGAGGAGGATGGCGAGGGCCTCGACGTTGTTGGCGACGACGGCCCAGCCGAGCGAGCGCGCCGCCGCCGGCACGTCGTAGTCCCAGATGACCATGAGGATCGGGAACAGCTTGGTGCTGCTCGACACCAGGAGCGCCGTCGACACCGAGTTGGGGCGCGCGTACGTCGGGAGCAGCTCCAAGAGGGAGAGCGGCGAGGCTGGGGACGAGGTCAGGAAGCGGATGCTCAGGTGGAAGGCTAGGGTTGAGAAGGTGCACAGGATTACTGGTTTTTTTGTCGTTAGTGAAAATTGCTGTGTTTTTTTTTTTTTTTTTTTTTTTCAACTCTTTGGTTCGATTCTTCTTGAGGGGGTTTACCATACAGAAGAAGACATATTGGAATACGATAGGCTGCTGTGCTAAGGCCCCTAGATTACTTCTCCCCGTCGACGTAGCACCCGATGATGTTGACGAAGAAGACTCCGGGACGACCTGTTTCTCGATGCGCGCCCATGTTAGGTAGACGTCGAATAGGAGTAAGAGTGTACCGAGACGTATTATAGAGGGCTGCCAAGGTTCCAATTAGCTATGTTTCTGCTTTTCTGATATTTCCTGCACAGCGCTATCCACCCATCCGGACGTGTTCAAACGTTCGGCTAGAATAGAGCTCAAGTCCAAAATAATCGGCTTATATAGAGGCGAAGGAGACGTACATCGAATTGATCGCGGTCGCGCATTAACGTGTTATGCAGGAGGTGTCGATAAACCTATTGAGTCATCAATTAGCTTCCACATACACCTCAATACGCTCATTGAACAGTCCTCTTCCTATTGACATCACCGTGTTTGTTGGTGCGATCTGTTCCACACACCTTTCCTCCAGCTCCATCTTCATCTTCATCCACAAAATACAACGCCCTCCCTCAAAGATTCCCTAAAAAAACAACAGACGGGGAATTCTCACCTGCGGCTTAATCAAGACCAAGTCGATAAATAATACCACAAAGTCATGTTCGACGTACTTGTCGCAGAACCGTCCGCAGTTCCGGCACACGGTGAGGCGGATATTCGAGCTCGCGTCGCCGGCGCCCGAGTACTGGGTCCAGAGGGTTCGGACGGGGTGTCGACACTCGATGCAGATGGGCATTGTGTGTATACGAATGTATGTATGCGCGTATGTATGTATGTATGTATCTTGTATGTATACGTGCGAGAGTGCACGTGTGGTCTGGTTTCTCTCCTATGCTATCCTTCCCTTCTCTCGATCCCCTCCAGTTCGTACCCTCGCTCTTCCCTTCACAAGCACCCTATGTAAACACGGATTCGCGCGTGTGGAATCTCAACTCGAATAATCGTCCGTCGTGTACCAGCCAGTTGTCGCAAATGATATCCCTCCAACTAACCCCCTCAAGCGCTATCGAAAGACGAGGTCGGAAGAACGCGTTGGGAATCCCATTCTGAAGCGGCTATTAACGCGGTCAAGTGTGGTGTGGCTTTCGTTTGGCAGGGAACAGAGTTGGTGTTCTTAAGGTGTGCGAAACATGTCGAAAAGTTTATGTAGGTATTACAGCAGGTAAAAAGCATAAGCTTCCACCACCCCGCGGTATAGATATACATGAGGTCCGTCTGATCTTCTATGGGCACTCCTTATCTTATCGGGTTTCAAAATATCCCGTGACGTACGCATACGCAGACAGCTTCATGTCACTTGTCGAACCTAGTCCCTTATTGAACATCTTACCTTAGAACACTTTCAATCTAATAATTCATGAGGTACCAAAAAGTAGAATAGCATACGAAAATTACTGTCTTGAAAGGCTCCAAGGTATAGCAAATTTTAAGCGAACTTGATGGGAAGTAAAAGTAACGGCAGTATAAAACGTATTGTAAAATATTGAAAGGGGTAACAAAGCGGTTTAAATTTGCCATTGGCCGGGGTAACCGTGCTATCTAGACCTTGGAAACATCTTCTACTGTATGCGGTACATAGGTGTCTGGTGAGAATGAAGTGGTAGGTAACAATGGAAGAAGTATATACAAAAAAAGGCCCGCTTGTCTTGCCTAATCCCCTTAAAAACGCCGTCGATGATGCAGGCCACGCCGCTCCTAACACATGAGAGAACCAAGTTCAGGAGTGATATATTAATAGATGAGGAGGACCGTCTGGGGGCCGTCCAAAAATCTGCATTACTGTGCGTCAAATCGTCTTTAATCCGCCTTCTTTCCCTTGTCGCCTCCTGTCGGCATCAATCGGCCGCGCATTGTCGCTGCGCCTTCTCCTCCGCTTCTACTAGTCGATCCATGGAGATTTTGATCCAAGAAACCACCGTGAGAAGATCCACCAAACATGTTACTCGTACGTCCATCATCACTAGCCGTGTCCGCCAACTCGATGAGGTCGAGGTCATCAGCAGGCTTCCGTAGTGAGCCGAGTTTCGGTGTGCCCGGGCGTTTTGCCCACGCCCCGCGCAACCAGGTTTCGATAGATGCCGCCGCGTGTTCGAGGCCCACGCCGTTTCGGGAAGGGGCCGCCGCCTCGCATTCTTCTTCAAAGGGACTCTCTACAATTCCGGAGGTGTCCTCTGTCTTTTTGGAGAATCCAAAGTGTGCAGTTTCAGATCCCATGACGGACATGGATGGGAGCGAGTCAATGTTAAAGCCGGGGAGTCGCTTGTTAACCCACGTGTTGAAGGAATCTGTGGCTGGGCCAGGCGCCTTCACGCTCTTTCCCATCGACCCCACACCTCCTGGCTTGCGCATCCACGCAGGAACCCCTTCCATCTGCCCTAGACTATTGCCCCGGCTTCGGCCAGACGCAGGTGAACCAAGGCTCAAGCTTGAGGCCATTGGCCGTGTGCTCTGTCCCCTTGATGAAGTCGTGCCAGGACTCCCTGCGACGACAGAGGTGTTTGAGACAGCTTTTGATAATTCAAGGGACTGACGCGGAGTGGAGAAAGCCGAAGCGGTATGGATACTCTTCTTTCTCCTCGGCGGAAAATACCCTACCGTTGTGCGCTTGACCCTGACTATCTCCACTGGTTCTTGTAGTGAATCCAGCTTTACCCACCGTACGTGAGTCCAGGGTCGTTCGTCAGCTTCTTGTGCCAAATGCTCACTTGTCTTGCCGTTCAAAGATCCGAAATAGTCGTCGTGTAGCTGTTGTGAATCTGTACTGGACTGAGCGAAGCTACTG